CACTTGATGACATGACGCCCGTACAGCTCGTTTGCCAAGTACCCGTCAGCGATAACTCCGCGCCAACCGTTGCCGCTCTCAATGTGCATGACCCATGTTCGCCATTTCGTTTGCACCTATGTTATATATTGTGATTATACATTACTATAGTGCAAGTTATCGCACATTTTCTGTGCGACGAGACGTTTTTCAGTTTTCACTTTAATGTCTTTTATTCAGTGCCACACAATATTTTGGATAGCGTAGTTATGAAATGTTTGCAGCAATAAATGTAAATCTTCTATGGATTAGAACTTTTAAAAGAGAGAACAATTTATGATACCTATTTACAAAGACTTACCTAAAACGACGTACTGTTTTTACATGATACATCTATTATTATGATATAATATGACTAAGTTAATTTTTATGAAAATAGGTAATAAGTAATATCTTACTATTCGTCATTATGAGCGCTAAAAACATTTCAAACATCCTCTTGTAAATACTGTAGGTATGTTATTATATATAAGCTGACCATTATCTGCTAAGAATTCTTATACTAAAACCAATGATCAATTATCGCTACTTTTAAAATTGTTGTAAATAATAATACACCAATAGTATCCATACGGTGCCTAAAAGAATAATAAAGTTCGATGAACACAACAAAACTGAATTTCTGAAGTAAAAGTCCGAGAGTTTATTTTTCATTCCATTTTAAAAAGGGAAAACATGACCAAACTCTTCCTAACTAGTTTTTCACATTACTTCATTGAAACTGTACTTTAATACCACCTGCGATTGCGTGATACTAGTATTAGACTAAAAGTTCAAAGAAAGAATTAAACGTTTACATCGATAAATGCCTATAATTCTCTCTGTCCGAGTAAATTATTACTTTTGATATTTATTTTTTTTCTAAATTGACTAAAAACTATTATATTTTATATAACAGTACACTGTGGACTACGAGCGTTGTAATATTTAGTCCTGCTGTGAAATTGTCTGTATTAAAGGTCGTTAGAAAAATAGGTCAGTTTTTTCGTCTTTGTTGGCTGTTCCACAAAAAAAAAAAATAAATAAATATCATAAACATGTTTTTGTTTTAATTAGTTTAATACAATCAATTAGTCGTTTAGTTTTTTCTCTAAAAAAAAAGTGATTAATATACATGAGTGAATTTTTATACCTCATATATGTATAATTTATTTTTGAAAAATGTTTTTTGTAAGCGATTGGATTTAATGACGGGAGTCTTACGTAATATACCTGCATACATTAAAATACAGAACTTTTAAAATAATATTCTGCTTTCACTTGATATTTCAGTTTTAATCGATCCAACAAGTACCTATATATTAATTAATATATTTATTTGTTTTATCTTATATATTCATTTATTGATAGAAATTAACGCCGTGCTGCTTTTTATTACAAAATTATTTTTTATACAAATAATTATTTTTATAAGAAACAAACTTGTGTATTAGATTATTTTTTTTTTTTATATAACTTAATTATCGGGTTTACTAATAAAATGGTTATGTTGTTGACTTCTTCTTATAAATTATTTATAATTTTTTCTCTTTTTAATAATATTTTGTGGGACTGCCATACAGATAATTCAGTTGTTCCGTTTATATAAAATATAAATTTGATAATCATTGATTTAATATGCTTAACTTAGGACTGTATAATTCTATGTGTAGAACGAAATTAATTTATGATGTGCTGTAGGTCATGTACACATTTTATAATACATTTGAATATTTTATTCAAATGATATAATTATATACCTATTACAATATGTATTTTACTGTATTGAAGTAATAAATAAACAGATGTGTACTCAACTAATGTGTGTCTACGAAACAATTTTATTTTTACAAAATGGTTATATACGAATTACGAAATGTATTGGAAATATAATATGTAATTAAATTTACATTAAAACTCAGAAATTATTATTACACGTGCACCAAGTCGTAATTTTAATAATTGTGTTTCAAAATTATAAAAAAAATCTTACAAATATGAAATAAATTATATTTATAATTATTACCACTAAACAATGTTACGATGAAAAATAATTATTTAAAATGCATTTTAATTTTTATACCTTTATTTAGTTATAAAATTTTTTCATTTTTTATTTATTTTAATCGATTATAATTTATTTTTAGCACTGTTAAATTAAGTATATCTACTTATATCATTTTTTTTTTTTGAATTTTATTTTTATTATACAATTTGTAAATATATTGTTTTTGCAATAAGTATAAGTGTTGTAGAAATAGTTTATGATTTAATTTAATTTTCTTCAAATATTATAATTGTACATCTAAATTATGAAAAATAATAACTTAAAATGTGTTAAAGAACTTAAAATAAGTGTTAAATAAATCACATTACCAAAACGTAAATCTATATTCAATCTAGATTTTCATCATTGATTTCAACATTACTTGTATAATAGTTGTAGTATATCATGACATGTAACGGATTAAAATATTAAATGTAATTTCACTTAAAATTGAATTGCATCTGATCTTAAAGTTTCAAATCTAATTGAGTTATAATAAATAATTTAAAATGGTTTTCAATAAAATTGAAAATAAACATTAGAGGTGAGTTTATATAATTTTGACTTAAATAAATAAATTACTATAGTTTTAAATAATATGTTACAAAAATTAGAACTCGGGCTCATGTTCTAACCAAATTTCGTGATATTAATAAATGTTAATAAAATGTTTTTTTTTTCATTACGAATTGACATATTAAAGGTTTATGTTTTAAAATTTAGTTTTCAAATTATATCGATATTATTAGACACTTTTTTAAAATCTAAATAAAATAAAAATATGTATTAAATTTTATCTTTTAGGAAAAAGACTTGAATAATAATTTTTGAGCAAAATGTGCTCTTCTGTAAACTTAACATTTTTATACGCTCGTTGTTTGAGTATTTGTGTTAAATAAATATATTTTGTGCAAAGCGAATCAACTTTAAATAAAAGGTGGTTAACATTAAAATTTAATTTTAAAAATATTTAATTATATTAATAGCAAAATATTAATCATGCATTTAAAATATTTATTTATTGCGATTAAAAACTGCTTGTTGGTAATAATTTTTTTTTAATCATATCTTTGTTGATAAATTAAAGAAGTTTATAATTTATCTTCCCATTAAACGTTTTTAAATTTATATTCAACATTACATTTAATGATAAAGGACAACTTATTATTATGTATTACTTTGGACGAACGATAAGTAATAGACTGTGTATATGAACGCATATTCATGTATTATATGGTTGATAAACATATTTTAAACTATTTTGTATTCAACAATATTATTATTTTATGTGTTTATTTTGTTTGACAATGAGAATTTACAGGCAAATACAATTTGTGCTGTAGGCTCCGACCACGTTACATTATATAGGTTTTATGTCCAAAGTAAAAAAACCCATAGAAGTCGCGGCTACATAAGATAACATTTATTTTTGAGCTGTTTTATTATATGTATACAGTTAAAGATTTGCAGCAGCTATTGTAAAATAATATTTATTTATCATAACTGTAAGAGTTTATATAACTAAAAAATATAACAGCAGTCAACATAGTTAAGCATGCATAACAACAACAATATTACATTTTTCTCTTGTCAAAAATACTTCAATTTATTGTCCTATGAATTGATAGAAAATTTTATCTGTCTCAATATTAAATGAAAGTTAAATTTTTATTTTATTTCATTTTTTGTTTTATTAAATATGAGATTCGTTCAGATAATTTTATTTTTTTTTTATGTTATTATTTTTAACGAAAACCTGGACGACCTTGTTGTATCAAAATATAAAATAAATATTCAGTCATGTATTATCCTTATTCAAGTACTTATATATGAGGTTATAAAATACATATATATGAGAAGTATAAGCAGTCACCTACTGAATCCGACACGTTATTATTATATCACACATTCGGGCCTAGATATACGTAGGTAGTGTGTATTATACATACAATTTTTGTCATATAAGCAATACGGCACAGATGCCTTTTGACAGGTATATAAAGACTGATTCATTGTTATTACCTTATATACAATTGTAAAAATGAAATCTTAACTGTTGATTCATTTTTTACACACAAAAAAGTGTGTACACATTGTATACTATACAATTTCCATCACGAGCTACGTAATAAGTTGTAAGAAAAGTACATTGCGTGATTTATAATACAAGTATAAATATTATGTTTGTTGTGATTTAATGATTTTTATATCATATCGATTTTAGTTTCTCGATTTGTTTTAATATTTAATATATATATATTATATATATTTGTTTCCAACATTTTTCGAATAATGAAATATAACATTAAATGAAACATAAAGTTGGGTTTCTGATAAACGGCATCCTTACACACTACTGTTTCCTGTATAAACAAAACTTACATATCCTGTTTTAGTGATATTCATTTGACATGGAACCTTGACTTTTAAAACATCTACATAAATTGGCTCTATAGTTTATATAGTACAAGACCTATACAATTGTTATTCTTTTTAGATTTTAAACGTAACTAAAACCTTAATTATATTTATTTTGAGTGTATTATAAACGAAAACAAATATACCGTGGAGTTATAGTATAAATATCAACAACGGTTCTGTTATATATTATATTTCTAAAATTCTATTTCAAAAATATCGAATAAGACAAATGCATTTAATTAAAATAATAGATAATGTGACTAACCGAAGTTTCGGTGACGTATTTTGATCGTGCGTTAAAATATTTGTAGTTGGAATAAAAATATGTTATCACATCACGTATAGGTATTTGATATAGGCACCTAATACCTATGTATATATGGTCATATAGATGCTTACACGCGTACTTATGCTTGACGCAGTCTAATGGATTGTTCGATGATTGTATTAGAACTATATTGTTTGTGACGGTTGTGAGCGAAAATTTCACATTGTGAAATAAATATGAAAATTATGCCACCATAACTATCTGACTGTATTCGTGCAAATATTTTTCGTTACTAGTGGCGCGTTAACGTTATAAAATGACGCATGTTGTTGTGCATCGTTCGTCTGTTGATCCGGATGTCTTTCGTGGTGATTAAAATAGTTTTTAATATACTATCAAAACAGTAGGTATATTCACATTTTATTAAAATATTAAATTAATGTATCTACCTATGTGCACCTCGCACAGGTGTACGTATATGTTATGAATCAATGAGTGTTATGATGCTTAAAGCCTTCGAGGCCTAAACATTTCTATTCCGGTTTCGGTACAATTCTTAGAATAATAACAATAATAATTTTGGTTTGTTAACATGGAAAAATGATTTTAATATTCTCAAAATACCAATATTTATTTCTAAAGTATTTTAAAAAGGGTTCTGAGTACCCAACCGGTTCCGGTATCTATATTTCCGGAGCACCTCAGTTCCGTAAAAAGGTATATACGAATTGTATCTCACACTGAAATATAACTATAATGTATATAAATATTAGCCTGATAGTATAATTTTTTATTCATTTTTAGGAGTTCTCTATAATGTATTTATAGAAAGGTCTTGTCAGCACTGGGATCTGATTTTATGTTGTGAGATTTATTACATAATATTATGAATTATGATAAACATATATAGATTTTGTTTTCTGAAAAACCTATATCCATTTTGAAGTGAAAAATTACCAAAATTTCCAATGAAATTAAATTAAAAAATTAAATGAAAATAACATAACAAGACTGGAACATATAAAAAGTTTATCAAAAAAGAATAAATCTAACTTTTAATCGACACATTTGATTAATTTATGATTATGATTATATTATTTTTTTTTTTATTTATTACCTGCAGGCTACCTAAATTATGTTATTGACTTTTAATTAAATTCAATGTTTATTTGTTTTGTTTTTTTTTTCGTTATACCGTAATTACACTTTCAACAAATTAATTGTTATTTATTTAATTATTAGTTGTCTATGAATCAATACACGAATTGTGCCCCTTTTGAAACATGATTCATGTATTTTTTCGTTAATTAGTATCGGATATTTTCGGTACAGAGTTGAACAGTTCAATATCGTAAAATATTGTTATGAGTTTTTAATTTTTAATGGCATAGAATCGTGTAGACGTACTAGATAGCATATCAAGTACAATTTCATGTATTACCTATAGGTTATAATATAACACAATATATAATAGGAGTGTTAGTAGTTGACATATTGCGGATAGAACGGCGCCACATTGTTCGTTTTTTAATAAGTGAAGTAAATAATAATAGATAATAGATGTATTAACTATTAATATTCGTTGTCTAATACTCCGATCTCGAGAAAAGGGATTTTCAATATTTTTGATGTCTGACATTAGGAATAGTATACATACGCAGTGCAGAACGTCGTATTTTATTATCGTTATGAAAAATATAGTATGTATTCATATGTACAGGTGTATTAAAATCCCGCGCCGCATTTTAATAATATATTATAATTTAAATTGTTGTGTATATTATATTGCACAAGTCCATTCTTTAGAATAATACGTGTTTTGTCGATACGAAATTCAACAACTATTATACATAGTATTTTATTATTCATATAAAATATAATATTTAGTTGAAAATGGAGGTTTTTATAAATAATTTCTTTCGAAACGGTCGGATCGGTTTCGGTCGATCGTACAATAATGTGCAATTGTTTTCGCAGAAGTTGCCATAAATCACGCTTGTATTATAATAATGTACGTATTTTGTGATCGTTATTAATTGTCTATCATATCGACGTCGCTGGTCGAAAGTTGATGCGAAGGTCGAAGACGCCGTTAAGTTATAATACATAATATTATACATAACTGCCAACTGAACAGGGTTTTGTTTAAAGTTGTACTTACTTTACTCGTGACATTGTAATAATTTTAATCACTTATGTTTGTTATCATCAGACGTAGTTATCTGCATAGTCAGATTCAGCAATATTTCTTCGTAAAAGGTCGGTAACATGATCAAAATATAATATGTAATAGCTTTAATAATATTATTACTAAGGATAGTGCCTACACATGCATATTTTATGTGCAGAAAATTCGTTAAATAAGATGGGAAAATATAATGAAATCGTTTGAGTCGTTATTTGAATTGATAATATTTTGTGACGATAGAATTAACTCGGCACATCAAAAGTAATTAATTTCTTTTTCAAAATAAAATTCAATCAAATGTTAGTTTAATCTCCCACCCGATTTGTCGATGCACTAGCACGAAATGTTATGCTTTTTTTTTTTTTTCATTAACTTGCATTTACACGACAACATATTAAATTCGATGAAAATTTCACTATAATCAATAAATTGTTATACTCACTATTATTGCCCACTTTATTTTTTACATAAACTGTTAAGTCTGTTAAGACATACGTATACTATATAATCGTATATTGTTACGATAAACTATGTATTGGTGAACTTTACTAAATTCGTCAACGGTTTTTTATTATCTAGTACGTCATATTTGATATTTATAATTGTTTTGATTATGGTAATAATTATAATACAATAGTTTCGATGTATTGTACGAACTAATTTAATGAAATTTGACCTATTTACAATGGCTTTAGACGGAATAATTCATCATCATTACGTCTTACTAATAAAATAAAAATGTGTGTTGAATAATATTATAACAATTAACAATTGAAAAAATGTATATTATAAAATAAATTGTTTTATGTAATCATCTCATACTTAGAATTTAGAGAAGTAAAATCATAGTATCGCTAACTGCAATTTATAATAATACGCACTAAAACATATATGGAATACTTGTGAAATGATGCAGTTTTTACAATAAAAATGAAATTATTTACAAATTACTATTAGTTTGATCATTATTGTCATTTCAATATTACCGTGTGCTTCTAATTGTAATTAAATTTTATAAGCATTTAAATGTGTGGATGATTTGAAAATATTATTTATTTAAATTTATCGAAGAATCTAGTTATAAATAATTCCATCAATACTTTGCTGTAACGTTCTACTCGCAACAATTCGTTTTTTAATTATACGTTTAACATATATCTGCTTATTTTGTTGTTCGTTATCATATTAATTAAAGCCAAACAGGTAAATTGCTCAAATTAAAAGGGTCCGGCTTGCATGAGACTTGTAAAAACACTAAAAACTACTGCAATAGTGTCGGTAATGTATAATATATAATATGTAGGCACCTTTATACACAACTGAGTGTGCTGTATTTAACAGATAAGAAGGTCTCATGTATAAATGCACAATGGACATTAAACAGTGAGTTACTAAGTTGATTTCAAATTACCCGCGTTGGGTTTTCGTGGCAAATTTATGTTAAACGATTTTGGCCGTTGCCATTATACATTTTAATAATACTTAACTTCACGGACAAATGCAACACATATCTACTCCTGATGAAAAGTTAGAAAAGCAGAAAAAGTAAACAAAAACTCGTTGTGATATATATATATATATAAAAAAAACAAAAAAAATGTAATCAAGTACCATAATGTTGTATTATTTTAATAATGACATTTTATTAAACATATTTTACAGGATAGGTATCTCACAAATATTTATTAATTTAAACTTTTAAGTGACAGTGTAATATAGTTAGGCGTTATCGTACTACACTACTACTCCAACAATTTTAAAAATCAAATCTCTATACACCCTATTTATACGTAACGCGAAACTATGTTACTGTTAATTGTTACTCAAGTTTGAAACTAAATGATATCCGTATAAAAACGGTATTGTTATAAAATATAAATAATAATAATAGAAATATGGCTAATAATATTTACGTATAATAAGTAATATTAAAAAGGAAAAAGCAATAATTTTTTATAATGCATACATTTTTTGTTTATTTAATACAATATTTGTTATTATTAAGAAAACTGGTGTGTTATGTATCGAACGAAATGTAATATACACGTTATTTTGTTACAGAAAACCAATCTTTGTTGTGGAAATGCATTGGTTGTGTAAGTGTGTCATCGGCTTGGCAGTATTGGCCACTACAACTTGGTCAGCATCACTGCCGAGTGTAACACAGAAATGTGTGCCCCCCGGACCGGGGCTGTCACTAAATGATTTCCTTTCCGGGAAGTTTTACCTGTTTGAACGGCAGCAGGAATTCAGCATCAAGCTCTTGCAAACTGCTGTCACTGCTTCGCCGAAGCAGAACTTAATATTTTCGCCCCATAGCATATATACGGCTCTTTTAATCACTTATTTCTTAAGTAATAATGAAACGGAAGAGACCTTGAAGCGTTTCCTCAACCTACCGCCAGAACAGGTATATATATGATTGTGATTGAAAGTTTTTCGCTGGTCCGTAAATTTTTTTTGTTCGTCTATTACTTCATTAGAGAGCTGCCGTTGTAACGTAGATTAATTCAATAAACAATACTGACAGCGTTTTATTAACAAAACCAACGGGTTCTCTTTATAAACGATAAAATAATTTTGACATAAACGTGAAATATGGGATAAAAATATAACATGTTTTATATGTAAGTTTGACTATTAATATGATTCTAAAATAAATATTACATAACCAATTTTGTGTGGTTAAAAATGTGTAGGTTAAGCGATAACAGATATATAAATAATAAGAATATACCAAATTTGAGGTTTCTATATATGTGGATATGTAGGTACATATATGTCTTTAACAATTAATTACATCATATGAGTTAAGACTTTTAAGACAATTAGTATATTAATATATTATATAAAGATACTTTATATTCGTAGGTTAAGTTTGAATTTAATTTGTAGCTTGTATTTGAACAAAGTTTTCAGATTCATTAGTCTTGTGTAGAGACTAGAGATGGAATTTTTGTTTATACAAAGATTATGCTTATTTAAATTTGGAGGAGATATAATTTTACATTTATTCAATGAATGATAGTAGACCTTTTTATTGCATAAAAATGCATATTGCGTTCAATACGATATGTATTAAGAATTTATTATCGCTACTTTTTGTCATACTTATAATAATTAATCTCAATGCAATGTTATGAATAATGTACAGTTCTAATATTAATATTGTGGTAGGAATTTGGTAAAACCAAAAAAATGAATTTTATGATATGAATTATAAACCACTAATATAAATTCTAATTTAGGTTTACTTCAATAATGATACGGAACGTTTCTGCTCATAAATAACTTTTGTATAACTGTGCAAACTTATTTTTATAAATATTGATTATAATTACAATATGGATAATGGTATTGAAAAATTGTACTGCTATCTACTGTTTGATGTGATTATTTACAAACATAATAACATTAATGCAATTATTTCTTAATTATTAAAGTTTTTTTAGATTCTGGGTGGTTCGATAAATAGTGTATTGTTTTAACAACGTTGTATAATTTTTATTTTTGTGTGTACCTCTGTGTGTTTTTGTATGTACATGATAAATTTCTTAAAATTTAAACTTTAAGGGTTGTTTTAGGTAGTAAATTGTAATTAGTTTGTACTTTAAAGAGTTAAAATTAAAATTTCCTACATAATTTTTTAATTGGAGAAAACAAACAAATAATTGGAAAACTGGAATTTTATGTAAATCTAATATTTGGCAAAATATTGTTTGTTTTTTTTATGTAATTCGAAAATTATTAACTACGGATACTTGAAACTTTCGACAAATATTTAAATTATGTTTTTATAATTACATCAATACTTTTTGAGCTAATTAAAAGATGAAATTTTAATTTATTTTAGTTTTATTTTAAAAATTTAATACAAGATACTTTATACTTTTAAAACCAGCATCAAAGAAAAAATTTCTGCCGGAGTCAAATACGTTTTTTTTGACCGTTTAAATTAAAAATTTTTATGACGTTAAATATTCACCCGTAAAATAATTATTTCTCTTCCGATTTTTTTTTTTTTTTTTTTGATATTTTGTTGTTTTTTAAAAAATAACTTTAATAGATACTTGAAATGTTCACTAAAATTATTTAATTACGTTAACGGTATTTACAGAAAGATGTTATTAAAGATGTTATTACATTTTGAGTTCTATAAGTTGATATATTATGGTTTAAAACTTAAATACATGATATTATTATAATAATTGAATATTAATAGTATGATAAACGCAATTTTTAGTAAAAATTTACCGTGATACCAAGAGTAAAATAAAACACTTAAATAACTATATAGTATATATAAATATATATAAATAAACTTATAGTGATTTTTGTTTACACTCTAATAAACTGTTTTCGCTCAATATCGTTTTTTCATATACAACGATATATCATTGAATTAAAATTTAACACACCATACAATTATAATTAATTATTATAAATAAAATTTTTAAATCATAACAATAAATATATGTGTAAGTTTTTGTTTTTAGAATTTTTTCCATGGTATATACATCATATTTCCCATAAAAAAAAAATAAACATGTATATATTTGCTTAATAATATATAAAAACATTTTGAAGTTTTTTAGAACATGAAATTCCGGTCTTTAACCATGACACATAACTCTTATACTATACATTTTAAAGCAGTTATGATTTTAACGTTTTTTTTGTAATTTTATTTTTAATACAAATAATGTAACTGTTGTAATTATTGTAAGTATACGCGTTAAATAAACTCAAAAGCTAAACTAACCCTAAAATTTACAGTTACATTAAATGTTAACTTTTATACTATTCATTGAAAAGGTATGCTTCTTTGATTTTTTTCCTTTTATACTAGTTTTCAGCTTTTAAATCTGATTAATTTTGTTTCGGTATAGAACTTTTATTAAGTTTTTAGTCTTTTGCAATGACTTAGGGATTTTTGTGACATATATAGAGTTTGTTTTAAAGATACGACCCACCAAGTACACCGCAATGCGGAAATTCTCTAAGATGCTGCAATTCTTTAAAATCTTTTATAAAACTTTGTTAAATTGCGTAGAATTTATATAATATAATACAATTTTACCACAAAAGACTGCATTTAACTGATTTTAAAATTGACTAACGCAATGCAATTCATTTATATAGAGCAAACTAAGTGTAATGCAAGCATACCGTATGGAGAAACTGTTTCACTCAATGAGGGTGCTGAATACCAGTGCAGATTACGATTTCAGCTCGGTAGACCGTCTATTCGTTTCCAAGAGACTACCGATACAAAAATGTGTTGCCGAAGTATTTAAGGACGAGGTACATAAAATGGATTTCGTCGTTGACCCCGAACTCGCTCGCATGTACATCAATAACTGGGTGACCAATCAGACTAATCAGGAAATCAAGGACCTGTTACCCGAGGGGAAAATCTCATATGAGACGAGACTTGTGCTAGTGAGTATCATCTTATAATATAAATTATTATTATATACTAGTTTTAGATTAAAAACAAGTTCATTATTATGTATAGTACTATAATATTATAAGTAATAATGTATTGTGTGTATTCTTATAGGCAAATGCGGCGTACTTCAAAGGTTTTTGGAGCTCGAAATTTTCCTCCGAAAGCACAAAAGATGAGGTATTTTATACGTCACCAACCGAGAATGCGTATGTTCCGATGATGTGGCAATCTGGAGTTTTTAATCTACGTAAGTATATCATTTAAAAAAACATAGTCAATTTGTTTGACATACCTGAAGCTTAACTAATGAGAAAGAGATAATAGTGACTAATAATTAAAATGTTTAAAAATACTGTCTATATGAAGAGCCTTTCCATGCCGTTACTTCTTTTTTTTTGATAATATATGTAACTGGATATGTGTAGTTAGCTCAGATGAATTGGGTGCGCACGTATTAGAACTCCCATACAAAGGCGGCGATATCAGTTTGTTCGTGATCCTGCCACCTTTCAACAAACAGCGTGGAATAAGTCAGCTTAGTAAGAGGCTCAATACGAACATTTTACAGAACATTGTTTCGTCAGGTGAATGGACAACGCGGCCCGTTGAGGTATCTCTGCCTAAATTTAACGTTGAACAGAGTATGGACAATTTAGTACCGGTGAGTGTAGTTTATAAATATAATTACCAAATATGAAGACTTTATGTAGAATTTATTGAACTCGGGTTTTAAAATTCTATTTTCAGAAGTTATGATAAATATATGTCTATAGATATGTGTCGTAAACTTTTGAATATTTTGAAATGTATATTTCAGGGATCATTTAAACTTAATATAAAAATTTAAGTCCAATACAACCTGAAAAAGTATTCCTCTTATGAATAAGAGAATAAGAATAAAAAAAAATCAACATTTAATTATTTTACAAGTAGCTTGATCGTTTTTCCTGTAAATTTCTTTTTTAGTTGTTGAAATAGTTTGATTTAAATTTTCCTCATCGCCCATATTGTATGAATGTCGCACCACGTAATACAAATTACAAACATTTTTTTCTTCTAATAAATAGCCTGCTTGAAACTCTAAGATACAATATTTTTAATTAATGTTTTGTAATTAGTTGTTGAAAATTTATCTGGCTCACAGACAAGAAATCAGTTTTTTAAACAACTTTTTTTTTTTTTTTTGTGGTAAATTAAATGAGATTTTCATTAACTTTTATTTAATCTTTGCTTTCTTTGGATAAATATATATATTAAATTTTGTTGCTTCTAGATTACTCCTTGAATTTTTAAAGTGGTCCTCAAAAAATATATTTATTGCTAATCCATGTTATACTGTATAACGTAACTATTTATTTAGTTCGACGATAAATCTTATAATACGATAAGTGTATTGATAATATTTTTCATCCAACCGACAAAATATTTTAATCAAGACGAAAAGAAAAATCTTTAATCAGCTAATACGTTTTACTATTTACCGATATTATTGATATAAATATTTTTAACTAAAATAAATCCAAGAAACGATTTTAGTTTTAATTTTAATATATGTTTGATGTTTCTATGATAAATTTAAATTAATACGTAGAATCTTAATTTTTTCCTAATTAATTCGTATTGAACGAAATTGTTTTATACATTTTATAAAAATATTAGGTACTAAAAAAGCGTTTTTAAGAAAATGTACTTTTTTATGAGTCTATCTAAATCTTATAAAATCGTTGTCCTACAAATAAGAAACATCTAGATTGCATTTTATTTTGTTCTAAGCCCGCAATATATTACGATTACTGCATAGTGGACATTGTTTTCAGATACTGGAGCAAATGGGAATCGGAAACTTATTCAAAGGCAACGTTGACCTATCGGCGTTGACTGGTAACGCGAACGATGTGACCATCGACGATGCTGTACACAAGGCAAAAATCTCCGTAGACGAAGAAGGCACGATTGCCGCGGCGGCAACGGCGTTCATTATGTCTCGATCATCCAGGCCGGTAGAGCCTTTCAAGTTCAGATGTAATCATCCGTTTATCTACTTCATATTCGACAAAGTAACCGGATCGGTACTGTTTATGGGCGTTTACAATTCTCCGAAATCTAACTAGATTTTAAACCATATACGTCATCAGACGTGTCGTGCACAAAAGGATACGAGACACGGTGTAGGACTGTAAAAGACAACATTTGTATTATCATATAAGTCTATGATCGTTGTCTTATTATAACGTAGTTCTAAGATGTAAATATTTATATGCGTTTTATGTTTACTATTATTATTATTATTATTATTTGTATGTATATATTATTATAATGTATTTTAATTTTACGCCAATTGTTTCTAATTGAATGTCGATATATTGTCCTGTAAAACGAAGTACCTACGTAGACCCATTCGTGACTGTACCTATATACCACATCATATAAAATTATGTTACATATGACACGTGAATGTTTTTTCTAAGTTTTTTTGGTGAGAGGAGGAGAGGTTCCACAGAATTACATCGTAAGTGGGAGAACATTTTTATAAATCTATATTTAGGAATATTTTTTGTTTTTATGATTGTAAAATATATAATTTATGTACTTAAATATTATGAATAAAAATATTAATATTTATGTTGAAAAATAAACACCGTAGTGTGACGTTGAATATCAATTTTAGGCAGTTAAACATTTTGTATATTTAGTATTAAACCGTCACATTTCTCTCATTTATGTGGCGTTTATCGGAAGATAATTCAAATGTAGTTATAATTTAAATGTGTAATTTATAAATAATTATATATATTAGTACGTGTGAACAAATATATAATATTACATAGTAATGTATTCGTTAGACAATAATGTTTTGTACGCGTGTTAACCGTTGTATAAGTGAAATAAATTACATGATGATGATGTACAGTATAATTGCGTGTGTTCTTATTAACACTAGTATACAAAGAACGAGAGTGATGGAAAGAGAGAGAGAGAGAGAGAGAGTAGGTGTAAGAGTGGTCAAGTCTGATGGGTTTCAGATTCGAACGACTGAGTTTAATTGAAAACACTGTTGTCTTAATATAATAATTCATACATTTAATATAATGGTTTATAGTATAAACGTAAAGCCGTGTGCAGATGACGCGCATACAGTATCTACGGCGTCCGTATAAGTAAAGTTTATACACAGCATTATATGTGTGCGGTCGTTTCGAGTTGAATGATATACATTGGATAACGTTACGTATATTGTTTGTTCAGGGGTCATTTGATTGTTTGCAAGTACGGACTGGGAGGATACTAGCCTATTATTCTCAGTAAGTAGACGGCCATAAGCTCATAGATACAATATAAAAAAGACCTTTTTTTTGCTCATTAATTGATTAAAAAAACTCAAGTAGGTATTTTATTACTAAATCGAGGCATGCAGCCTACTGTGCAGTAGAACACTAGCATAGTGGCCCAGTTCGGGCCTGATTGTTTGAAAATCGAACGTACTAAAGATTTTCTTTGCTGTCTACGACCCGACGACGACGGTTACGGGAAGTGTTGTACAAAGTGAAATGTTCAAAAAACCGTATCGCGTGTCGACGATGTAATAATTATCACGAAAAACGACGCCACCGTGCGTGCTTAAGAGAGAACACTAATGTATCCACATCGTGAACTATTATATTGCAACCGGCTGTGCTGGGTTCCGTCGGTGTTGACGCTGCTGCAACAGCGGTGCCGCTATTTTAACACCGAGCAAGAGGTGCAGATATCCTACGGACAAGAAGATTCGCCGCCATCGTGTGAATAAGTTATGGACGATTTTACGATTAAAATAATATTCGCGATTTTAATATTGTCTGTGCGGCGTAGACAAATGGTGAGCACCGCGTTCTACGAAGTGTTAGATTTCGTCCTGACCAATTAGAAATACTCGCGTTGATTCACACAATGGGCTCGTCGTCGTCCGCTCTCAGCGGTAATTAGCATAATTAAAAAATGAATTTTGAAAAGTTAAAACTCTATTGTGTTCCGGAAACAACGGTCGCTACCAGGCCGCGTCGTAATATTTATGTTCGCATGTATTATTTATACAAAAAACGCATTACGCCGCGAGGAATTTAATTTTCAACCAACCACGGTAAAACTCTAACGGTCGGCCGAAACTTGCTTGTTTATAATAATAATATATTATTATACCATTATATACGGCCAAACGCGTGCCAAATAATGTATAAAATCATTCCGACCCGATAACACTACGGCGTGTGAGCGTTTTATAAACTATGTCCGACACGATTCCTCAGTTTAGGTTTGTTCGATGTGAATGTGAGCAACGTTTAATATGTAAATGCCTGTATTGTGATAAAATAAAATTATAGATTCGATAACGCTATTAAATCCTCTTTCAGCCATTTTCGGCCCACATTTATCGTATACAAAAACCGTATTTATTTAATTTATGACATTACCTATCGATGCCGTAATAACAATTTTGAGCCTACATATATTTCAGAAGCCATTGTTCAATAGTCAGTAGACGTATACGCAAAATATAAGGTATGGATCAGTTCCGTATCTAGAAATTGGACATCCAAGTATTACTCAATCATAAATAAAATTGTAAAATAAATGTTTTGTGGAATATTTTTTAAAAAATAGAGGTTTTTTGCGACTTAAGGGTCGATTTTTTTAAAATTTTTTTTTAAACATTTATATGGAAAAATATACAATCTGTAAGGTTAGTTTACAATAAGCATATATGCGGTGTTTATGTGTTTTTACGTGAGTTTACATGAGTTTAAAGAACTACCCAACAGTAGTATTTATGGTGTGAGGGATTTAAATGTGTGGATAATGAAAGTTAATTATTTGTATGTTATTACTAGGTCTCTGCACCAGTTTCTTTTCAGCCTTCTTGGCGGGTCACCAGGTAAGTTGATAGAGTCGAGGGCAAGGATCAGAGGGTTTGGAGTGGTTTGCTAGACGGGAGCGAAATAATTTGTAGGATGATTTTGCTACCTCTAGAACTTGGGTTGATATAAATCAAAGACTTGTATTAAATCTTATATTTTGAAATTCGTTGTCATGTTTTTTATTCTTTTTTTTTTCTAAGAATTGTGTGTGATTAAAAAAAAAACAACATAAAACCAACTGAAATAACACTATTTCGTTCCAAGTACTTATTGAGAATATGCAGCATTGGTATTTATAGAAATATTAAAACTCTTCTTTATTTGAAGGCTGTTTATTTTAATTGAAAATTATTAAGAGCAATTTCAAAAGTACAGTTTTCACCTTGATCTTTACACAAGTAAATTGTCGGTCTATTAATACAAAAACATAAAGATTCCATAAATTATTTTTATTAAATAATATTTTTACTCGTTTTTAAAAATGAATTTAAATATTTATTTTCTTTAATAATAAAAAAAAGAAAGAATTCACGAATTAATTTAAATAATCTTATTAATATGTTATCGTTTTAATGTACGATGTATCTGTTTGATTTATTTTATTTTATAAATTTATTAGAAGTCTCATAAAATAATTGAGTTTTATAACATTCTTTCGTTTTCAACATTAAAATTATTGATAGTTTAAAATTAGTCTCCTAAATTTTTTTGTTAATAAACCAACTTATAATATTCATATAATTTTTCATATTCTATTACATACTTACAGTATTTATTATTATACTGTTATTTATTATTTCTCATCATTCAAAGATATAAATGTATTCGAGGAATGGTAAACTCCTACAAATGTAATGTAATCTCCTACATAGACATAGTGTAGAAACAAAAGATGATACAAAAGAATACCACTTGTACCACTGTAAAAATATATCAGTCTTGCAATATATTAATACATAATATTATACAAAAATATAAACTTAAATGTAAAACAAAAATTGTTTGAAAAATATAAAAATTTAATAAAACAATAATCATAATTCATAATCATTTACGCTCATGTTTATGGTATACTTCGGAGATAAACTCTAAACGTGAAATTTCTCTTCGTATATATTTATTTTTTTTGCACATGTAAAATTTCATATTTTTAAATTGTTATTGTTTGTCTACGTTGTGTTGATACCATACTACGTAATTACTATCGCTGATCTATTAATATTGTGTATTGCCAATGCCAATATGAATTTATAATATAGTATATAATATGGATATAACCAGCTTTGAAAAATCATTATACATCGTATAAACACGCTCTATTCAAGTGTTTGTATTTTATATATTTATTATTTTCAAGTTATGATAATTTTTAACTTTTTGAGCTTTTAAACTCCAAAATCGTGAATTCAAATTATATCATCCTATTTTTTTCAGGTAAAAATTTCCACGTAAAAGAATACAGTATTTTTGATTTTCGGGTAAAAATTTAAAAAAGTTATTGATGTAGAAGTTTACATTTAATGATGATTCAGGTAAAAAGGTTATTCATGTAGGAATTTACATTTGGTCATTTATTCAATCTCCATACCTATAGTATAATAGTGAATAGTAAAATATTTTATTTATTTCAAGACTTTAAAAACAATTTCGTGGTAAACATTTCCAAGATAGTATTATTACAATGATATACAATGGCAATATACCTATTTACCAATACAATACACCGTATAATAAAAGATAGCAATAAATATTATGCTTGAATGTGTATTTTATGCTAATAATACATACGTCGATGAAGATAATCTATATTTTTACTGACTTTAAATTTATATTTTAATAATTTATTTTTTATTAATATTCGTTCAAAACAAATATATTATAAATATTTTGGTTTCACGATTTTGTAACGTAATATGATTAATAAATTATTATAGCCATATTTTATTGATTTACAAATAATATATAATCTATTAATAACAATACATGCCAGTCGTTAGATCTAATACATTTAATTAGTGCCTTTTCTGATTATATTATACTTTTCACTCAGTTGAAAATTATTCAAAAGTCACTGTTATCAAGCAAGCTCAGGAATTCATGGGCATATTTTAATATAATGTATATAATTATAATTTACAAACGATTTCTGAAATACTCCTTGTTTAATTTATTAAACCACGAAACCCAATGCAATAAATATCTAAATGGAACGGGTTTTAAAATTTTACCTGTGCAATTGTATACAGTATACATAATACATATATATATATATAATCTTGAAATATTTGATGTAGTCCATTATACCCTTATAAATTATATCACATTCCATATTCACTTTGGAATATTATAATAATAAACATATTTTTATTAAAAATAATAAAAACAGAAAATGTCTACATACGGATGAGTATACATTTTAATGTGTTTTTGTCTTAGTGTATCGTTTATAATGTAATTTAAATACTATGTGAGATACGTTTGAAAGATTTATATATGTCATGTTTAAATAATATAAAACAAAAAGATACTTATTTATTAACAAAAATGAATATTTTGTGCGCAGTTGATATGTCGGTATTATTTTAAAGAGAAAATAAACGTTGCCAAGTTCGTATTTTTGTTAGCTGTTATCAACACATAAAATAGTTTGAATAGTGCACCAGGATCGGCTGTCGACACTTAACTGTTAATGGTTTAAATACATGCAGTGTCTGATTGTCATGAACGATAAAATTATAATATAATACCCTTATTACTGGTGATGCTATTATTATAAATAGTTGTTGAGTGACGGTTTTCAAACAAAAAAATTGTTCCAAAAATAAGTTATTTGATTAAAACAACTACGAGTATACGATATGGCTTCTAAAGTATTTAATAACTACTGTTATTATTTATATAATAGGCGCCTTCGATAACGTAATAGCCAGTGGTTGTTTTTTGATTAAACGCATCTGGTGCTCAGAAATTGAATTATTGCAGTTGGTATATTTTAATATTAAGATATAATAGAGACTT